GGAGCAGGGAGCCTGATGCGGGACTCGATCCCAGGACCCTGAGATCATGACCTGAGCCGAAGGCAGACGCTTAACCATCTGAGCCACCCAGGCGCCCCACCACACTGTTTCTTACCTCACCCCCAGCCCTCACAGATCTGTCAAGGTGTTTTGGGGGTTAGATCCTTGACAGCTGCTTCACCAGCGGCCTCACCACCATTTTGAGTAATGGTTCCGGGTAAGTTATCTGGTTCTAGATGAAGGTAACTACGGCCAAACTACGGGATATGGGCACCTGCTAGTGCCTCTGTGCCTCCTGTGAGTGACACTTAAGGACAGAACCTGTGGTCACCGCCTAACCAGGAGAGAGCCCAGACCCAAAGCCCAGGTCCATCTCCAGAACCCAAGAGCCCACGTCCAAGGGGAGGTACTTCCACTGAAGGAAGGGCTCCTTGAAGGTAAGCTTCCTTTTCCAGCCTTCAAGCGCTTTGGAAGATGGGATGTAATGGGCAACAGACGTAAAGTTTACTACTCCTGAGACTCCTCTGATGCAAATTCCTTACTCTTATTCCAAGGGCAGAGGACCCTTCATTCTCATTTTCTAAGTCCCCCTCTTAGACAGTTTCTTAGCCAGAGCAGCGGTTTCCTTAACTAACAAAAACTGCAGCTTTCTTACCGAACCCTCGAGCATGGGAAGTGCTGGGGCCTTTAGTTTTTGGCTTCTGCAAGACTGTACACCCTTACTATTTAGGAAGATGCTTCCGTGGAGAGGTCTTGGGGGGAGGCAGGGGCCCCCTCCCACATTACAAGCTAAAAAGACGGTGCTCTTCCAGATGCACAGGGGAGAAGTTACTGGTTGCCTGAGGGCAACAAGACCCAATTCTCTTACTCTGGCTAATCTGACACGCTGGCACCAGACTTTAAATCTGGACACACGATCAGCGGTGAGAGGTGGCTGTGAGTCTAGCTGTGGGACCCTGGATGGCTTCGTGGCCATGCTGCCAAAAACATGTTCATCCTTGACATACATCGACAGAAGTAAAAATATTTATTTTTTTATCTTCGGAATCTGGTCCCACAAAAAGGCCAACACTTTTTCTTTTTTTTCAGTTCATTGTCTTGACCCTTCAAAAAACCGATCTTTCAAATAAGAGGTAAAGTATGCTGAGAAAAGCAAATTTCGAGGTGTGCTCAGGTAAAATTATTTCTCATAAACCAGTAATACAGGCAACCCTAGGCTTCCAGTTCGCTCAGAACTCCTTCTGTCATGTACAGTCTCTGAAGGAGAAAAGAAAGGAGGAGGCTGTCTGCAGACAAGGCACTTGAGAAACCACAGCAAGAAGAAAACCCAAGGCCCCTGGGAACTGTGCTGGCAGCCCGTGAACCCAGAGAGCTGTCGGTGGACAGGACGGCCAGACCCCCCCACCTCCATGAGAACAGTTCCGGCTTTCCTGCCCAAACACGCTTCCGGCGCCTGCATCAGCCTGGCACTGCCCACCTGGCCCGGAAGACCCGGCAGCCAGGCCACTTGGCCAAGACGAACACTGCTTTCTGAAGCTCAGAGCAGTTCCTACGGCGGACAGGGTGGAATGCTTTCCGAGGCCCCTGCTGGCGCATCTTGCAGGAGCAGTCCCTTTTGCAAAGGCAAGTTAGTGCAGATCAGCACGTTAGCAAAGCAAACATTAAAGATTTTTTAAAAGCTGATTAATACTCTTGATTTCCCTCCTGATTAGCTGTTCGAGCTGCAGCCTATAAACCTGTCAGAAATCAGGAAGGAATCCCCCCTCTGAAGGCACCTTGAATGAAGTGGCTACAGCCAACGGGAGTGCAGAAGGCCCTCCTTCTGGACAGTGATCACGGGACACCTGTAACCAGAGAAGAGCCCAGCTGAGGCCAGGTAGCACGCTCAACCCCTTCTTTTGCTTTGGGGGCTTGTGTTTAATATGGGTCATGTGATGGAAGCAGCAGTCTCAGAGTCTCTCATGTCAAGAGACGGACAGGGATGGGGATGCTGGAGCTCTCCTCCTCCTGTGTTGTGGTTGCACACTCGGGTCCCAGCAAACAGTGTGACATTGTGCCAATTTACTGCCTAACATGCCAGTCTGTCAAGAAAGTCAGCTGAGGAGGAGAGGAGTCATGCTCCAAACAGAGGCCGGCTGGGGAGTGCTTCGTCCTCCTTCCTTTGGCCCAGGTGAAGTGGTTCCTTTCCAGAAATTGTATGAGGAAAAAGAGGGGTTGCACTCAAATCAGAACTGGACCCAGCCTGTGCCTGGTTGAGTCTGGCTGGAAGTCGACCTGTAAAAGGAAAAAAGGGAGGGGTGGGAGAGTTTAGATGTTTGAAAATACAAAGTCGATAAAATGTGGCTTCTCTCTGGGCAAAAAGAGCTCCAAGAAGTGAGTCCCTGAATGTTCTGGAGCAGGGGTCAGCAAACTATAGCCCAGAGACCAAACCTAGTTCTCTGTCTCTGGAGATAAAGTGTTACTGGCACAGAGCCATGCCCATTCACTTACACGCCATCCGTGGCTGCTTTTGAGCTACAAAAGCAAAACCGAGTAGAGGCCATAAGGTCTGTAAAGCCTAAACGATCTATCTCCATAGAAAACACGTGCTGAGTCCTGTCCTACAGACTATCCCTATAAACAACGGTGCAATAAGTTTTTAGCATCTCTTCACCTCGACTCCAAGGAAAGGCTTCAAGTTTTATTGAGGCAGAGAAGGCAAGAGACCATGAGAATGGGCCAAGGCTAGAACCAAGGTTAATTCTGTCCAGTGTTCTGGGATAGCTGGGGCAGGGGTGGGGAGAGTGGGGTGGAGGAAGAGGGGAGCTGCTACTGGGGATGAGCCAAAGGCGGTTGGAAGACCAGAGAGAGTTACAGTGTAGCCCCAGGTCCCCTAGCAGTAGAGAGCAGTGAAAAGCCTTCAGAGAGACGAGTATGCCACCCAAAGCGGGCACTCTGGGGCTCTGCCCTCTGGCTGGCCTGAAAACGTCCAAGTCCGAGCGGTTGCTCCAAACACCAGAAGAAAAGCATCTGGAACAATCCCAGGTTTCTAGGGACACAGCCCTGGCCCCAGTCCCACCACAAAAACGTGAACCTCTCCTCACCCTGTGGATTTGGTAAAGTCTCCCCAGATGTCGGTGGTAGCAGCCGTGGCAGGCTTCGGGTGTGGCCAGGACATGGTGGCACCTCCTACTGATGTCCCCAAATCCGCCAGGCAGGGAGAGAAGAAAAGGAGACAGAAGAGTCAGAAATCTCTCTTTCTGGTGGTCTCAGTGACCCTGAAATCAGTCTCATGATTCCGGGTGGCCAGGAAAGACACACAGAGACCTGCTCTGGGACAAACAAACAAACAAACAAGCTGCCACATTTCCATCTGCTCACGAGCCCTTGAGGGCTCCTAGAGAAAAGTGGAAAGCCATATACATACAAGGTGGAAGGCAGGGTGCCAGGGAGGACGAGTCACACACCATCCATCACTCATACCTAAAGCTGACCTTGTTTTCAACTGCGTATATGTTGGCAATCCGTTTAAAATTCACTATCTCCCGCCCTGGCTTCTTGAATCTCCCGCCCACCAACGATGCAAGGTCATCTTCACGTAGAGCCCTTAGTCCAGGGTCTGGATCAACTGAATGAAAAAGTTATGCTCCAGACATGTGCCAAGTGCTGGGACCCAAAGTGGTTAGGGTTTGGGGCGAGCCTTCCGGAAGAAGCAACATGGAAGCCAGTATCTGTGTGTCTCTCTTCATCAAGGTGGGGCCACCTGGGGCTCCCATGCCTGCCTCTGCGCCAGCACCTCGCCCTGTGCTGCTGTCCCTGCTAAAGGCCCTGTGCCTTCCTCCCTCCGCCCTCCCACCAATTTGCTATTTCTAATCTGCTCTGGGCCGGGAGACCAGATAACACCAGGGCCCTCAAGGATTTAGTTTTGCAGCTCGCCAAGTGCTTACTGTGCATTGTCTCCTTCAGACCCATCCCAGGCCCTGGGGGAAGACAGGCCAGGACCAACTGTGTGACTTGATGCGCATCCCTCAAGTCTGTTTCCTTATCTCTCAAACGGGGGTGAGGGACGGGAACAGTGACTACTTCTCAGAACCGGTCTGCGCTGCAGGAGCTAATACAATGGAATGCTTGGAGAAGGCCCAGCACGCGGTGGTGATAATGACCACATTAGTTGAACGCGACCCGACAAACACAAGCACTTAGTGTTTTAGGTATTGTTCACGGATCAGCTCATTTGATCCTCACAAGAAACCCACACCGTAGGCTATCATGACTGCCCCCATCCTACAGATGAGAAAACTGAGGCACAGAGAAGCAGGCAATCTTCTGACTGTCACACAACTGATAAGCTAGAATGTGAACTCAGCCAGTCTGGTTTACAGGATATACTAAGTGCTCAAGAAATGGTAGCTCTTCGTGGCTCATTATCTGACACCATTTCATCTGCAGACACACTAATTGCCTGTCTTGTACGTTAGAATGTAAGCCCTTGGGGCGCCTGGGTGGCTCAGTCAGTTGAACGTCTGCCTTCAACTCAGGTCATGATGCCAGGGTCTTGGGATCGAGCCCCACATCGGGCTCCCTGCTCAGTGGGGAG